AGTAAGATCTGGGGGAAGGGTGGTCACCTCTGAGCCTGACTCTTACCAGTAAGGCACCTGAGCAGGTGTGTATGCATGCTAATGTTTCAACTTTGTAGCTCCAAATGCACAGCTTTTAGATCTTTCACATTTACATTATTTTTCTGAAAAAAATTAGTATATGTTATCAATACACAGTACTTTTTTTTTTTTTTTTTTGTCTTTTTGAGACAGGATCGTACTGTGCAATTCAAGCTGGCCTGGAGCTCACTTTGTAGCCTGGCCTGATCTCGAACTTGTAACCATCCTCGTGCCTCAACCTTCCAAGTGCTGGGATTATAGGCATGTGCCACCACACCCAGCTAGTAATTACATTTATTTAAGGGAATTGGTACATGTACATATTGCATCTTGATATGTTGACTCCATCCCCTCTCCCTCCTTCCTCAGATCCCCCTCCATCTCCAAAAAGTCTGCCTCTGTATTTTCTACCATCTTTCCTTCTGTCTTCCCAGTTCTACTGAGTAAGAGGCTGAGGAAGGCAGGAGATGGAAGAGCAGAAGTTTTCTACTCTCACTGTGGAGGTAGAAGAGGAAGGAAGGAAGTGATCTGTACCCCCCTCTTTCCCCTAAACTTAAAATATGGTTATCCTATCTGACAAGGCTGGAATATGGACCTCCCAGCCCAGATCATTCCTACTGTACGTGCTGTCTGGTTGGGATCTTAGAGGACAAGGAGAAAAGGGTCACTATTCAGGTACTGCCGTCCACTGAGAGACACTTACACTGGTGTTGCTGCATCTTCTACCAGCTGCTTTGGGAATGGAGTGAGAAGGCCCAGCTCAAAGTGACTGTGTTACATCTGCCAGCAAAACTGAAGTCATGCAGGTAGAAATTTAATGCCATCTGGCTGGAACCAAAAAGTGGCACAGTCACCCATCCTGGGCTGAGGCCTTCTGAGTAACTGTGGTTGCTGTTACACTCTGTTCTCAAGCACCAGGTCGCAGGCGTCATGAACTGTAGAAGGAAGGAAGTTCCGGAGATATGGGGCTGACTCCCACGCTTCCTGACTGCTGGACTGCGAGCTTAAAGCACAGACGGCCCCACAGACAGCAGGGGCTGTGCGTGTCCTCTCCACAGCCTTGGCAGATTTAAACTCCACCTGGCTCCTCTTCAGAGTTCACCTTTGAGGCCGCACTCGTGGTCCCTAAAACAACACCTTGTTCTTCCTGCTTCCTCCTTCCCTGTATTCCCCAGGGTTTGGGGCCAAACACGCATTGCTTCATCCTTGCTATTTTGTTCCTTATATTGGATAAGTTATCAAACATATTCATTCCTAAATTGCAAACTATTTTGAGCATTCTACAAAATTCTCTCTGGGGATGTGAGAAAAGAAATGAGAAGAGATGGCACAAGGGTCCCATGTATAATTGGGTAGCAGCGAACGGCGACCTTAACAGTAATTGGTTATCTATGTAGCTGCTTTAATTTAGTTCACACCTTGCTGCTGTTTGTGCAGTTTAATTGGAACTGCATTTGGTTATGTTATCTAAATAGAAATATAGGAAAAAAATCATAGCTAGAAATACAGCCAGCCTTCATTCATGGGTTCTATATTTACCAATTTGCCTATTTATTGAACTTTATTTGTAATAATTTGAAAAAAAACTTACTTGCTTTTATTTCTTTTGCATGTATACCCAGAATTGGAATTGATCATATAGTAATTTTATTTTTTTAATTTATTATTTCTTTTAGAAGTTATCATTCTATTTTTAGAAGCAACTGTACCATTTTACTTTCTACCAACAGTGCGGAGGAGTTCCTATTTCTTTATATCCGTACTAACACTGATTTTCTGTAGTTTCCATAATGGCCACCCAAAGGCTGTGAAACGGGAGCTCATACAGTTTTGCTTTGCATTTCCCTAATAATTAATGGTTCTGCATCCTTTCAAGGACTAGTTGGCATTTAGGTACTTTCTTTGGAGAAATCACTGTTCAAATCCTTTGCCCATTTAAAAATTGAGTAGTATTTTTGTTGCTTGTTTATAAGAATCTCACTAGAATGACTCAAACTAACTAAAGTCTTTCAAAACTAATTATTGATGAAGCTCTGTAAACTAGAACTCATGTGTTACTGATAGCAGTATAAAATAATATAACCATTTCAGAAAAATACTTGGCAGTTTCTTATAGAGCTTTCACATTCATCAGCTTAGCAATTCTGTTCCTAAGGTAAGGAATTTACCCAACTTACATTTTCACAAAAATGCCTTATACAAGAATGTTAGGCTTTATTCAAAAAGAGCCCCCAAATGGATACAATCAAGTATCTATTATTGGAAAAACCTTAAAAAATGTGTGGCATTTTCATACAGTGGAATATTTCTCAGGAGCAAACTACTTAACAGTGTGGGTGAATCTCAGACATTATGCATCAGCCAGACACAAAAGGACATACATTGTGTGTCTTACTCCAGAACAGGCAAAACTAATGGGTGATAGCAGAAGTGAGAACATTTTCACTGGGGTGTAGGGATTGACTGAAGGAGCTACAAAGGAGCTTTCTGGAGTGGTAGAGGTGCCCAGTATTTTTATTTTGGTCACAGTTACATTGTTGGGTTCCCTATTGAAATATTACCAATTGTATAATTGCATGGTGCACTTTTGTGTATGTAAATTTACAGTTAAGAAAACCTAAATTATATTCTTGCAACTTCCCATGAGTACTTCAAAACAATAAATTTTAAAATGTATAATTTCCACTTGTTGAAAGTTCTTGAGACCTACAACATGGACTTTGTGTGGGTAGTTTCTATAAATGTTTCATGTATCCCTTAAAATAATATATAGTAAAAGTTATATGGTGCAATATTACTAAATATAGGTGACTAAAGTTGAGTTTTATTTGTTCAAATATTTTGTATTCTACTCACTTTTTTTCCTTTTGTAAGTTACTGAAATATGTGTTAAAATATTTTATAATCTTTATAATTGGGAACATACTAGTCATAGTTACTTTAAAGACCACATCCTGTGTGTCTGGCTGGGTTGCCTATGGGTTTGTTTTTATTGCTTCTTTCTTTTGCAGACCTACAGAAAATTACATAATATAAGGGTGGTCAAAAATATGCTGTGTTTACATTTTTTTAAATTACTACAATAAAAGACATATTGCCATTAATCTCCAGCAAAATGCCCCCCCCCCCGTAAACATGCTTATACCATCATTCTAACTACTTTCTAAAGCAGTTCTGCAAGTCCTCCTTCACGAATGTCTTCAGTTGGGCCATTGTAGCTGCCTTGATGTCTTGAATCGATTTGAACCATTTCCCTTTCAAGGCCATTTTGCCTGTAGGGAAGATCCCGAAGCTGTGTGGTGGCCCATCTGGTGAGCAGGTGGATGAGGACCGCCGTCTCGCGCTGGATGGCGCTCAGGAGCACCGCTCACTGTATTTGTCCTCACACCTCAGTAAAGACATGGAAGACTTTCAAACTGCTTTCAGAAGTGCCAAGAAGGATGGGATGTGGTCAGAATGAGAGGGAGTACTTTGAGGGAGATTAATGGTAATGTGTTGTCTACTGTAATAAACTTTTAAAGCTTTAACATTCACTGTATTTCTTGATCAATCCTTATATGCCCTGCTATGCCTTACAATTGTTGACAGCACACTGTGCATTTGGTGTAAAGAGTTGTGGACTATGTTGGAGGTGAGCCCTTTCTCTCTAAGGCTTCCTTTGTTTCTGACAAGCAGTTTCAGGAGGGCAGACCTCCTTAATCAAGTGAGGCCAGAAGGACAGAGTGATGGGAAGCTGAGTTCGGATGTGTTTTGGTTCTTCACGTGAGGGGGTAGCCCCCTCAGGGATTGTTACCTGGGCTCCTTCTCTGGTGGCCCCACCGGCAGCACCAGGGAACTGTCCAAAGCTGTCTGGACAGCTCTCCCAGCCTGGCTCTGCTGCTCTCTCGTTGATTAATATCATTTATTAGTGGGCATATGCTCAGAGGGGCAGAATGGTGACCACACATCTCTGCTTGTCTGTGTAGCTGAGATATTCTCAGCCTGTAACTGGGCAAAAAGCCTGCTCTACACAGCTGCTTTCCCTTGATGCCTCAGTGTTGTTCAGTGCTTCTGGTAAACCAGATGTCTCAAAAAAAAAAAAAAAATCAGTGCAAAATGTCTGCAAAAATGACTTGTTTCAGTTTTATTCCCCTGTCCCTGAGATCTCAGCTTCTCATATCCAGGCTGCCTTTTAAGCTCTCCAGTGCCTTAAAGCAAGTTTAAAAAAAAATTTTAACCTGGCTTTTCTAGTTATACGGACTGGAAGGTTGCTTGGACTCAAGGTAGTCGCTCATAGGCAGAGGTGAGAAGCCCCTTCTAAAGACACATGGGTGAGATTTGTAGAGTTTCTTCCAGTGTCCTTTGCCAGGCAGCTAGACAAAGTGTTGGCTTGTGTTACTGGATTTTTTGAAGGCCACATTTGAGTATGAGGTTGTCTCCTGGACGTTTCCCTTCAGCCAAATCCTTCAGTCATGTCATGGTTTTCACCTAGGTTGTGTTTGGATTGTGCCTGGACTACCCAAAGGGGTCTCCCTGATCTGGTTTACTCTGTAATTTGTATTTAAGCAAAAAGTGCCTTCACTACCTCTGGTAGAGGAGATAACCTACCTAATGCTTCCTGCATTTACTCCCTGCTTTGACTGAATTTATGTCTTCTGGCTCCTTGAATTTTAGCTAAACTACGATAAAGAATAAATAGGAGAAGTCTGCCTGTAAGAATATGGAAGTCTCAGTATCCATAGATGTAATGTTTTTCCTGCCTCCAAAAATGGAAATCATATGAAAATTTCCTATTACTTAAACCTAGCTGAGAACCTCAGCAAAACTGAGCAAACAAACAAAAAGATCCCTTTGTGCTGACTTCTGTCAAGGAACAGAAAACAAATTTGTATTAAAGGATTCCAAGAGAGGATGAAAGATGTAAAATATTCTTTTTGTTTTGTTTTTTTTCTTTTCTGCAGTTCACAAGAGCAGTGATTCCCTGGCTGTGTCAGCAATGAGCCCCATTTTCTGGTGCACTCACCACTGAGTGAATTTTCCTTTTTATAAGGAGAAGCTTTTGGTGGAGAATTATCCGGAGCAAAAGAACTCACATCTGCAAAGACAGGTAAGTTGCCAATGCAAAAGATGGGCCAGCAAGTACCAGAGGCTGTTTCACTGATTATGAATGCAGCTCTAGAGGTGGATGATACGTTTTGTACTAAATACTAAGCTAAAGGATTCTTCTCACTGATGATTGTCTAACTCTTAATTTGTATTCTTTCATTCATAAAAGAAAATTCATAGGCAGTGGATAAATGTTACCCTTGTTTAGTGTTTTGTTGCTATTGTAAACTGTATGAAACAGTGAGTGGCCTTGTATCTCATGGCGATTTTGTAGCAGAGAGCTTCCATGTTCAGTACTCACTTTCTGAGCATTGGGGACAGAAGGAATCTGCACCTGCCTCCCTTTTAAGAAGAATGTCTTTCTATTCTTTTGCCTAGTATCTGTCATCTATTTTTGGAAGTTGGGGACAGAAGTTAAAGATAAGACCCAAGGACTGAAAGTAACAACTAACCTGTGTTTGGTTTTATGGAAAACATTGTTTTAAGTATTTAGATGCATTATTTCACTTAATCCACACTCTAAAACTTGTGAGGTAGGTGTTGTGCCTATTGTGTAACACTTTTCCTGAAGTGACATGCCCATTGGAGAGTCACTTAAAAGAATGTAAACTACTCAGAGGCTGGGAATTTAGCTCAGCAGCATAAGCACCTGCCTTGCAAGCACGCGGTTGTGAGTTCGATCCCTGGTACCGATAAAAATGAAAAAAAAATATATAAACTACTGCTTTTTTATCATAATTTGAAATATTTCATTGGGTGGTAGGAATCTGAAGGTTTTTTTATTGTTCCTATTTTTAATGCACATGATAATTTCTATAATAATAAGTTTTTTGGAAATGAATGATTGATTTTTTTTTGAGATAGGGTTTCCCTATGTAGTTCCATCTGGTCTGGACTCACTGTGTAGCCCAGGCCTCCTGCCTCAGCCTCCCAAGTGCTGAGTTTACAGACATGCATCACCATCCTCAACCAAATAATGGATGTTTAAGAATTCCTTATTGAGCACCTTTGTTAGCTGAGTGCTATTTTAGATACTTATTCCTTTTGGTGAACAACACAAGTGGAGATCCCTGTCCTCTGGAGCTTGTGTCCTGGCGTGAAGGGAAACAAGTTATTCACAACAAACGTTACTAGGATATTAGATACAAGTGTAAATATGGGGGAAAAGGCAGACTAGAGCAAGAGGGCTTGGAAATATTGGAGGTGGCCCAAGTTATTTGCTGAATTGAGTAGCCAAAGGAAATCTCACTGAGGAAAGATGAGAATTAGGGTTGACTCTGGGCATGTTGCAGGCAGACGGAGAAACTGATGAAAGACCCTAAGGAGAAGATGGAGCCGGGGTGCTCCATACGTGGTCCAGAGTCAGTGCTGGAGAAGAGTGGTTGACGTGCGCTGGAGAGGCATTGTCAGGCCCAGTGGAAATAATGACATTTCTAAAGCTTAGATGCATCTCAGTCTATTTTCTACTGCTAAATAGTGTGATCAAAAAATACCACTGTAGGAAAATGGACCCACTCAGTCTATAATGCTAGATGAAATAAACCAGTCTCAGAAGGGTAAATCTTGTATGCTTTCCTTTATAAGAGAAATCTAAAGTATGAATGATTTAAAGGGCAAAATATAAGAAAGATGATAGAAAACATGGAGATAGACTTTGTAGAGATGGGAAAAGGATCTGGTAGTGGACAGAGATGGAAGAAAGGGAAAAAGAAAAGAACTAAATTGTGATATGTATATGTACCAATGTCCCACATATCACAGACACGTAGTAAAAATTTTAAGAAAAATATGGTGGCTATTTTTAAGAAATTAATCAGAGTAAAAGACACACTGCCATTAATCCCCACCCTCAGAATACTCCCTCTTGCTTCGAATATACTCATCCCATCCTTCTTGCCACCTGCTGTAGCAATTCTGGAAGTTGCCTTTTATGAGTGTCTTTAAGTATGCTGTCATAGTTGCCTTCATGTTCTGAATCAGTTCAAATCATTTATTTTAATGGTCACTTTGATTTTGGGGAAGAACCAGAAGATGAATGCTGCAAAAATTTGGTGACTAAGATAGATGATGATGGGCTGTGATGTCGTTATAGCTTGTCTTCCCTTTGGGTGGCAGATGGCAGTAGTATTTATTGTGTTTGTTTAAAAATCATACCTCATAAAGGCACTCCTGAAAAGGACTTCTAGAACTGCTTCAAAAAGTAGCAAGAATAATGGGATAAGTGTGTTAGAAATGAGGGAGTCTTTGGTAGGGATGGGTGGTTAATGACAAGGAGCTTTTCTGTAATAATTTTTAAAATATAAATATTCACTGTATATTCTGATCATCTTTTGCGTAGGGAACACCTGACAAGGCAAAAGTGCGGAGCAAGAGAGGCCAAACTTGCTTGTATGACAAATCAACTCTCAGAACAGTTAACTCAGTGCTGCAAGAAGGATATGAGCTGTGAGGAACACATTCATTCAGTCCATAGCAAATGCTAAGAAATATGTTCTTGCTTTTTTTCTTAGTTTCTTCTGTTGCTTTGCATGAGTGGGCACACGCACACACACGCACACACACACACACACACACTCACACACCCCATTAGACCTCCACCACCATACTAGTTTGCTAAGGCTTCCATAACAAAGTACTGGAAGCCAGATAGTTTGAAGCAATAGAAATTTGTTTCCCAGCTTTGTAAGCTAGAAATCCAAAATCGAATTAGGGCCATCCTCCCTCTGAGACCTATTAGGGGAGATGACACCTCTTCTGAACTTCTGCAGGGGCTTAGCATCCTTGGTGTTCCTCAGCTTGCAGCTGCCCCTGAGGTCTCTGCCTGTTGTCACATGGCCCCCTGCTGTGTGTCTGCCTCTTCAGATGGTCATCCTCTTCTTATAAGGACACCAGACATCCTGGATTAAGGGCTCATCCTACTTCTTTGAACTTCATCTTAACTAATTACATCTCTACTGACTCTGTTTCCAGTAAGGTCAATTTCTGTAGTACAGGGATCAGGCTTCAGTTTATCTTTTTTTTTTTTTTTTTTGTCTTTTTCCTTTTTATCGGTACCGGGGATTGAACTCAAGACTGACTGCTCGCAAGGCAAGCACTTATGCCACTGCGCTGAATCCCTAGTCCCCTTCAGTTTATCTTTTGAGGGGCACAGTGCAACCCATCTCAGCTACCTTAAATAATCCACAGTAGTTCTTACGATTCCCACCTTATAAGAGGAGAGAAGGCTCAAAGCTCCATGCTTGCCAAGGCCAGATCAGTAATCACGAGTCAGGTCAGTGTGATTTCACCATGCTGCCCGTGAGCTGCTGTGCCGCCACATCAGGATGAAGCTGACCAGAACTTTCCTGGCCCTGGACGGGCACTGCACAAAGAGAACATTTGTAGTCACCTGCTGTGTTGCTTAACCCTATGATAGATCAAAACTGACACTGTATCTCCACATTCCCACCAAAGGGAAACCGGAAGCTTTACCTGCAACACACTCTCCAGTAGGAATTTTATTTCACACTTTGACAAACAGAAAACAGATGCTTTTCACTCTTCAGGATATTTCCCAGGGAAAGGACACTGCAGTTTCTGGGGCATGAAGAACATTTTGTGACAGGAATACGTGTTTTTCCCTCACAAAACGTAGGAAACATTTTTTATATATTCTGAATCAGTGAATTTTTACAGTGGAATTAGAGGAATTTGGAAAGCATTTAATATATTTTGCTTTTCAGTATATTTAAAGATGCTTGCTAATATATCGTAGCTTCTTTAAGGCCTCATCTTGAGGCCTACACCTGAGCAAAAGAAGGGTTCACCAGCAGACCTGAACACTCCCTCACCTGTAAGGGCACGCGTTGAGTCACATTCCTGGGCCCTGCCTGGCTGGATAAAGTGACCACAGTCAGCCTGGGAGGGGACAAGGTCATAGTAGGAAGAAACTTTCCTAAGGTCCAAAGCTGGAAAGATTAGAGAAGCAGAGCATGAGGCGCATGGAGCGTGTGGCAGAGCGGCGGGGAGGGCTTGGGAGCAAGGCCTGCGTCTGTGGCTCTTACCCTGCAGAGCTGAGTGGGAGCAGAAGGTGCTGGGAAGACCACAGCTTCACCTGCCTTCTGAAGTGAGGTTGAGCCACGGTTTTGATGCCATCGTGGTATAGTTTCCTTTCAAGTGCTATCTTTCGCACTTCTGTTCTAAACGTGTTTTTATTCTCCATAAACTCTGCACTTCGCTTTCTACTTAAAAGCTGACTCTTTGGATCTCTGTGTTGAAGCATTTGTTCTGCTGAGCATAAAAAGAGTGAAAAAGGAAAATGCTGCCTCTCTTCCAAAGATCCTCTGTTCACTGTTGACATTGGGTTTGATCCTGAAAGCATGTGGAAATCTCAAGGACTTCATATTCTTCTGCTGAATTAAAATGACCCGTTGTCTTCGCTGTTGCTGCCACAGAATGCCACTCCCCAGCCCAGCCGGCCACACTGGCCTGGTGGGGCCTAGCGTGTGATGGACACAGGTGCTCAGCTGACTGGAAACCCAGTCGCTGCCTGGTGACTGCAGATAAGCAGCGGCTGCTGTTGCTGTGAAGCTGCTCAGTGTGGGCAGGGGGTGCTTTGGGTTACTTCTCTCCTGCAGGCACCTGGGAAATGCACTTCTCACCAAAAAAGGCTGAAAGGTGGCAAATACTAGAATGTAGAGCAATTTAATCCCTCTTATCTCTGTGGGGTAGGATCAAAATCCTCCCCTTAGTTCCCAGTAGTAAGAGATTGTGGAACAGTGAGATGATGAATACTTTAATCCTTTTTATATTGTTTTATATTCACACAATATACAATTAATCATTTTAAGGGTGAAACCAGGCATGGTGGTGCACACTTGTAATCCCAGCACTCTGGGAGGCTGAGGCAGGGAGATCACAAGTTCAGGCCCAGCCTGAGCAACTTAGTGACTTAGTGAGACTCTGTCTCAAAATAAAAAATAAAAAAGGGTAGGGCTATAGCTCAGTGAGAAGGCCTTGGGT